AGACGCAGCACCCCTCTCCCTGAGCTGTAGCTTCATTGCTGTCCTCTGAAGTGTATTCGTCCAGGGGAAAAGGGGGTGTCCATGTAGCTGGGATTGGGACCAGTTGCACCTGTTTTAATGTCACATCTAGAAATCCATTTTTTTAAAAGCAAAATCATCTATGTTGTTTTCTAAGAATTTTATGACTTCATTTTTTATATTTAGTTTATTTATCCATTTTAATTCATTTTTCTTATACAGTGTGAGACATGGTTCTAGCTTCATTCTTTTGCAGAAATAAATCCAGTTTTTCCAGTACCACTTATTAAGGATACTATTATCACCTTGCTGAATGGACTTAGCACCCTTGTTGAAAGTCATCCACCATAGGTGTATGGGTTTATTTCTGTACTCTCAGTTCAATGGTCTATATGAGGGGGTTACCCACCCCCAAATGGATTTTTTTCCCCAAAAGCTATGCATTAAAATTTTTTTTTACAAAAAGAACCTTATCATCTTAAAAATATTCTCCATTACACTTAATACATTTGTCAAGTCTGCTATTCCATTTTTGGAAACATTTTTCAAATGCATCTGTTCAGATGGCAGCACCTCCCTTGTTTTTTTCTTCATCTCTTCTACATTGGAAAATTGCTGTCCTTTCATGTCCCTCTTCATTTGTGGAAACAAAAATTGCACGGAGTGAGGTCAGGTGAGTAAAGTGCATGGGGCAAGAGAAGCATGCTGGTTTTTGCCCAAAACTGCCGCACTGAGATGGCTGCATGAGCAGGTGCATTGTCATGGTGGCAAAACCAGTCCCCCGTCTGCCACAAATCAGGCCTTTTTTTGTCGCACATTGTTATGGAATCTTTTCAGAACCTCTAAATAGAAAGCTTGATCAACAGTCTGACCTGGTGAAATGAACTCCAAATGTACTGAGTCGACATTTTCGTCCTTTTGAGAATTTGACAGACGTCCAGGATGAGGTGTGTCATCAATCTACACTTCTCCTTTTAGGAAATGATGAAACCACGTGTACACTTGAGTTTTTCTCAAGTGCTGTCCTTGTAAGCTGCGTTCAACATCACAACAGTTTGTGGCATTTGTGTGGCATCTTTCCAGAGCAGGAAACAAAATTTCACAGCCACACGCTGTTCTCTTAAGTCAGCCATCACAAAAAATGAGGTTTGAGTGAAACTGCTTTTACAAAAAAATCCACTGTGACCAGACCACAGGCAACACCACTGGGTGCACTAACTCAGAGTGAGTTGCTGGATGCTCGCCTAGCATGAAAAATGCATACTACAAAAACTCAACCCAGTGGATCTTTTTTCTGTTTGTTTGGGGGTTTTCTTTGGGGGGGGGGATACCCCCTCAGATGTTTATTGAAAGTGATATATTGAAGTCTTCACTTATGTAGGATGGTGTCTCTTACTTCAGTTCTGTCAGTGTTTGCTTCATATTTTAGAACTCTGATATTTTATAAAACATAGATTTATATATGTTACACATATATACATATTTACATATTTATCTGTATCTATATTTAGATCTAGATTTATATAGAGATCTAGATCTGGACCTACACTAGACATTATGCTGGCACTAGACTAATTTTATTACTGTTTATTATTTTCTTTTTATTACTGTTTACTAGAAACAGATAATTCTACAAAAGCTTGTCTTAAAATGAGCAACCATCTTACGTGAGATGGCAGCTAAGTCCACATGGAAGAAGCACATCAGCCTTTGCGATGCAAGGATTGTAAATAATAAACTCCAAGATCAGAGGATGGGATGGTATCAGAGGTTACATTCTGACTACCCAGTTTGCAGAAGGCCATGGATGACAGTGAAAGCCGAAAATCTATTTGCAGGGTCCATGTAGATTAAGCCTCCAGTAAATGCCCTCTGATCATTAACTAGGGATGTGAAGCCGTGCTTTCAGATGGAGCACTTTGGAAGGTGGACTAGTGTAGATGTAGTTACCTTAAAATTTACTACCTTCTCCCTTTTGACCTATTTTAAATTTGTTCTGGTTTTTATTTTTGCCTGTTATCTTTTCAACTAAGGTTTTTCTCCGATTTATTTTGTTATTGTTGTTGAGTTTTTTTGGTTTTTGGCTTTTTGTTTTGTTTTGTTTCATGTTTTGTTCTTATGTATTTCTCTTTATATGACACCCAGGATAGGTTAATCTGTAGGGACAGTAAGTGGATTAAGAGTCATTGGAGGCTATCATAGGGCAGTTTGGGAGAATGGGGAGCTAATAATAATGAGTACAAGAAAGAAGAAAATGTTCTAAAATGTATTGTGGTAATAATTGCATAACTAATATATTTAAACTATTAGATTGTAAAAATCTAAAAGAATTACCAAGCCCTTTATTTTTCATTTTCATCAGGTGTGAGGGGAGAGCTTGTAAGTACCACCACCTTCTTGTCATCAGGAGTTCATTGGATCTAAAAATTGAAATTTTTATTCTGCTGCCATCCTTTGATTATTGCTTTATTCTATGTATGTTGTTGCTTTCAACACAAATAATATTTAAATTAACTTATTTGGACAATGCAAAGAATAGAATATTCCTATAGCTTCTGAACAGCAGAGGAGAAAAAAAACTCTGCTTCTAGTTTGAATTTGCTTTTTATTTTTAAAACTCAATCCACCAGCCCAACAGAAGGCAGAGAATGCTGAGATAATAAGGAAAGAAAAAGGAGATTATTTTTAAAATGTGTTAGAAATATATCTAAATATATCTTTAATCACATAAACATAAATTGTCTATCTTATTCTGTTATATCAGAAATCTGAGATATATCTAAAATAAAATGGCACAAAATGATTGAAAGTAAAGGAAGATACAAAAATCAAGCCATGTTACATAGAAGAAAATTGATGTATTATATTTATATTCAATAAAATAGCATTTAAGATCAAAAGAATTAATAAAGATAAAGTGAAACACTACATACACAAAAATAGTTTACCAGTACATGTAAACATTTCAAATAAATGTTTTTAGTAAAAGCCTAACAGAGATACAAGGAGACTATCAAATCTGCACTCATCATGAGAGATTTTAACATATCTCTACTTGTAATTGAAAGCTAGCAGCCATGATGGTGCCCGGCTATCAAAAAGTATAGCGTCTGGGGTCTTAAAGGCTTGAAGGTAATCAAGCGGCCATCAAGCTCAGAAGCAACAAAGCCCACATGGAAGAAGCACACCAGCCTATGCAACCACGAGGTGTCGAAGGGATCAGGTGTAAGGCATCATCAGAACAAAAAATCTTACCATAGTGAATGATGGGGGGGGTGCGGAGTGGAGATCCAAAGCCCATTAGTAGGCCACTGGAGATCCCCTTGCAGAGGGGTCTCGGGGAGGAGATGAGCCAGTCAGGGTGCGATGTAACAATGATGAGAAATACAACTTTCCTCTAGTTCCTAAATGTTTCCTCCCCGCTCCCACTACCATGACTCGAATTCTATCTTGCAAGACTGGCTAGACCAGAGGAGGTACACTGGTACAGATAGGAACTGAAAATACAGGGAATCCAGGACGGATGAGCCCTATAGGACCAGTGGTGTGAGTGGCAAAACAGGGAGGGTAAAGGGAGAATGGGTAGGAAAGAGGGAACTGATTACATGGAACTATGTGTGACCTCCTCCCTGGGGGACAGACAACTGAAAAGTGGATGAAGGGAGATGTCGGACAGGGCAAGATATGACAAAATACCCATTTATAAACTATCAAGGGCTCATGTGGGAGGGGGGAGCGGGGAGGGAGGGGAAAAATGAGGACCTAATGTCGGGGGTTTAAATGGAGAGAAAATGTTTTGCGAAACAATGTACAAATGCGCTTTACACAATTGATGTGTGTATGGATTGGGATAACAGTTGTATGAGCCCCTAATAAAATGTTAAAAAACAACAACAACAACAACAAAGAAAGATAGCAGCCATGAATTAATGATATACACAGTGAAACAAAATCAGTAAGATTGATGTTATAAAAGTATACAAAACCCCAGAACAAACAAATACAGAAGCTATTCTATATTTCATTTGTACCATTCATAAAAATTGTCCACTTGATCAGTCACAAGCCTTGTTCCATGATCACAATGTAATTAAAATCAGCTGTCAATGAATTATTTTAAGCCACGTATTCAGAAATGTAAATAATGTACTTTCAAAAACTCATATATTAAAGGAGAAAAATTTAATAGGATGCCAGTGGAAATACTATATACGAAAAGTAGTATAAAGCAGTACTTAGAAGTCAGATAAGGAACAGCCAATTACCCAGATTTGGGATCGCTGGTTCTCTGTTTCAGCTTGTGTACTTTTTCTTTACAATCTGTGAGAGTTTCCTTAATTGTTTTCTATTTTAAGCAGTCTATTTTCTATAAGGCTGATTGTGCTTTTTATTCTAGTATTGCACTTTGAAACTCTTACTGCATTTGTAAATTTTATTACATTCTTTTCTTATTTCACTTGAACCCTTTCAAGAAGGAATTATTTTTTGCTTTGAATTTTTTGTTGAAACCATGTGTTTTCAAGAATGGAAGTCGTTTTGAATAAAATATTAGAAAGATTTAAAAATTGATACAGATTTTCTTTTTTACAAATCATTTTATTGGGGGCTCTCCAGCTCTTAGAACAAGCCATACATCAATTGTATCAAGCACATCAAGCATATAATGTTGCCATCATCATTTTCAAAACATTTTCTTTCTACTTGAGCCCTTGGTATCAGCTCTTCTTTTTTTCCCTCCCTCCCCCACCCTCCTGCCCTCGTGATAAATTATAAAGTATGATTATTTTCATATCTTACACCAACACGGTCTTCCTTTCCTGATGTTTTCTATGGTTTGTCCCCCCCCAGGGGGCGGGTTGTTATACGTAGATCATTGTGATCAGTGCTACCTTTCTCCCCCACCTTCCCCTTCCCCTCCTGGTATTGGTATTCCCATTATAAAATCTAATTTTTCTCCTTTTCCTCCCCCTCTGATTTTATAGACTAAAATTAGTCAACCCACAGGATTTCCAATCAAACACCAGCAAGAAGTGAAGATCTATTTTCCCATCAAGCTCACACCCAACTTTCTGGCGTTTCCTCATCACCCTATGGGAATGGTATATCATTACCAAGTACAGGTATGGCAGCCTACAATATGAGAATTCACCAAGAGTTTCCCTGATAGCCCAATTTGTTACCATTTGTTTTATGCTCAGTTTTATTTCTTCTGAATCCTCATAAGAAAGCTCTGGTTTAAATAAAACAACATCATGCTCTTAAAAATTGTTATCCACAAGAAGACTTGATTCACCTTGTCTCTCTTCCATCTCCTTTCCTTGTGAGTCCTGAAAACTTTTCTTAAATTTCCGTTTATTTTTGTTGACTGGTTTTTTAATATTAGAAGACACCTGCGTTGCCTCACCTTCCCTTAGTATTCTCCTTGCCATTTTAGTGAGTGTACTGCACATAACTGCATAGGTTCCTAATGTGTCCAGAGAAATTTCTTAGTTGGATCATCTCCTAAACTTCATTTTACCAGCCACATCTTCCTTTTCCACTTAAATTTTTCTTTTTCTTCCTATAGTGAGTAAATGTAAAGTTGTTTGTTTGCACAGGTAGAGGGCGGCAGTGGCAACTTCACCTGGACGTCTTCTAATGAAACCGTGGCCATGGTAACCACTAGAGGAGTGGTAACTGCTGGCCGAGTCAGGGGCAACAGCACTGTTTTCGCCAGGGATGTACAAAATCCCTTTCGATATGGAGAAATTAAGGTAACTGACACTCCAACGAACTTCTTTTCACCTCTGAGACTGTTATCTATATATAAGAACAATGTTATTATTTTAAATTTTTTTAATCCAAATTGGCTATCTAAAAATGATGCTCACATTCAGTCTGGAAGTACATTTTCCCTAAATATTCCTGGAGCTGGGTTGCTTACTGCTTCACTTAATAGAGAATGATTTATCTAAAATTGACAGGGGTGACGATTGCACAACTCCTTTGAATATACTTAAACTATTGAATTGTAGCGTGCACAAAGTATATGTGAATAAAATGGGTCAAAAAAAGTTGATGATCTGAAATGTAAACTCGCACCTAATTTACAATTTTTTATTTTAAAAAGCCAGGTATTTAACTTCAATGTTTGTTTCTTCATCTCTCAGACAGGGATAATCCCTGAACTCAAGGGGTTATTAGCATTAAACAATATCATCAGTCAGACAACTCAAAACAAAACAAAATATATTGTTGAGAACAAAGGGGGTCGGAGCAGAGACCCCAAACCCATCTGTAGACAATAGGACATCCCCTCACAGAAGGGTCACAAGGAAGGGATGAGTCAACCAGGGCACAGCATAGCACTGATGAAACACACAATATTCCTCTGGTTCTTTGAGGCTTCCTCACCCCCCACCATCATGACCCGTCCTACCTTTCAGTTCGGGCTAGACCGGAGCATGTGCACTGGTACAGGTATCAGGTCAGGACGCATGGAATCCAGGCCTGACAAACCCCTCTGGAAGCAGGAAGAAGCGGCCACTGCTGCGAAGCATCTCTCCCGGCTGTGTCTGCTGGCCTTGCACCTGGAGTTGGACCACCTGCGGAGATGAGTGTCTGAAGTGGATGAGATGAGAAGTCCAAACTTGGCTGCTGTCGGGGCAGGTGCAGAGCACTGGGCGAGTGCCGCAGAGTTTGTCCCTGGACAACCCTCCTGAAGCCTCCCCGGAGGGCTCAGTGACCACGGAGCCACGGGGGAAAGAGCGGCCCATGGATCCCAAGAAGCAGCTGTGCCCCGCCGCCTCCGCCGTGGGCGAGAGCCGCTACGGGGAGACTGTGGGTACCTCCACGGGGACTCCTGCGACCTGTGCGGACGTAGGTGCTGCACCCATGGACGCTGCCAGCGCCCACGGCACGTCAGATGGCGCACGGAAGCCCACGAGAAGGACTTGGGGCTCTCCTTCCCGGTCCCGCGCAGCAAGGACGTGGTGTGTGGCGTCTGCCTGGAGGTGGGCTCCGAGAAGGCCAACCCTTGTCAACTGCAGCACACCTGCTGTCTCAGTGCATCCGCACGTGGAGGAGCGCCAAGCAGTGGGAGAGCAAGATCCTCAGGGGAGGCTCCTCCAGGACATGTGGTCTCACCAGACGGACTGCGTTGTGAGTGCGTGTGTTTTCTCCTGACCAGGCCCCCTGTGTGTCTCAGCGGGCTCCCAGGTCAGTTGGTCTGCCCACTGTAATTTGCAGGAGGAGACGCGTGTGTCCGTTAGTGGACCCCTGATGCTCTCTGAGGAGCCTGCGTTCCAGCATTAGCCAGTCAGGCCCAGGGAGCAGACCTGCGCTCTGAATATGTGTTTCCTGGCATATCCATTTCCCTCGGATCCTCTTCTGTCCATTAAAGCTAGCCAACAACCACCCCACCACCACCACCACGGCATCCTCTAAACTGAGCAAAGTTGCAAGAAATAAATCTATTTAAACGAAAGAAAAAGGAAAAAACAAACTCTGGACCAGAAACGGGAGTAGCAATACCAGGAGGGGAGGGGAAAGTGGGGGGAAGGGAGGAGGAAGGGGATGCCAATTGCAATGATTGACACATAACACCTCCCCACACCCAAGAGAAACGTGGGTGAAGGAAGACAGCAGTCGGTGTAAGAAATAATAACACAATTTATCAAGGGGTCACCAGGGGGGCTGGAGGGAAGGAAAAGAGGAGCTGAAATCAAGGGCTCAAATAGAAAGTAAATTTTGAAAATGATGATGGCAACATATGTACACATATGCTTGATACAATTGATGTATGGAGTATTATAAGAGCTGTAAGAGTCCCCAATAAAATGATTTTTTTTAAATATCAGTGAGTTGATATTTACCCCAATTCTGACATATATTCAATACTCAATGTTAACTATTATTATTATCATACATATGATCTTTAAAAGGCTTTATATTAACTTAATTTACAGAATCATGTTTTTGCTTGCCAACTGTGTTTAAAAAACACTGAGAACACTTTTTTCCTGTATTCTATTACCATTCTCTGATTTTTCTCCCACTTTCAGAATATATTAATATGAGAAGAATTCCAAAAGTTCCTGGAAATGGAATGAAAGGATACTGGAATTTTTCCACAATTTTTTTTGAAGCCCCCTCATACATGTTACTGCAGGCCTTAGTATTTTGTCACCATCCAGTGGGCATTTATTAGGTAATTCCTAGGTATTTACCATACTTGGTGTCTATCACAGGAGAGTCAGAGAAATATAGCACATCATTCCTACCTTTAAACCTCTAAAGTCTAATTAGGAAGATGTATTCACCTGAAAAGTTAGATAACATTTCAAGGAAAAGACATGTTAAGCGTTATAAAGTAGTAGAAGGCTGAGAGCTTGTTGAAGTGTAGCTGTAATGGTGGCTCTTAAAAGAAGCATCCTGAGGGCAAGTAGTTAGAGATTATGATGAAAGAGAAATGAACTTGAACGAGACTCTGAAGAAAGGAGGCACAACAGGCTGTGGGTCAAGTCTGGCTCTGTTTCTTTTCTTGAAGATACAGTTGCATTGGACACAGCCCTTCCCACTCGTGTATGGATTATCCTCGTCTGCTCCCGGAACAGGACGGCACAGTTGAGTACTGTGCTAGAGAACGTGTGGCCTGCAAACAATAGAAGGTTGACTCTCTGTCCCTTGACAATAAACATATGTCAGCCCTTCCTGTAGACCAGGGCTCCTCAAACTTTTTAAACGGGGCCAGTTCCATGTCCCTCAGACCCATTGCAGGGCTGGACTACAAAAAATAAAAAATAAAAAACTATGAACAACTTCCTATGCACACTGTACATATCTTATTTTGAATTAAAAAAACAAAACGGGGCAAAAACACCCAGCAGGCCGGATAAATGTCCTCGGTGGGCCGCATGTGGCCCATGAGTCATAGTTTGAGGACCCCTGCTGTAGGCAGCAGGGAGTCATCCTGGGCTTTTAAGCAGGTCAGTCCCATGGTAAAATCTGTGCTATGCCAAGGTCAAAGGGTTTTTACTGTGGGTCCCTTGGAGCTGGGATTGACTAAAGGCAATAGGTTTTTTATGGGTTTCAGTTTTAAAATGATTTTTACAATCAGATCGTAACAGATAGAACAATAAAAGTAAGTGGATGAAAGATGGCTGTGTTCGTAATGACTACTAGGCTAGAGCGGATTGAAGGTGGCAAGTGAAAGGCAAACCAGCAAAGCCTGGATTCGTGGAAGAGTCTTCAGAGTAGAATGAAGGGGACCACTTGGGGCTTGCTGCAGACTTGTTGAATCAGATTTGATGCCCAGTGGAACATTCAAGTGACAATTTTTCAAGTCACAGGTTATTTGGAGCTTCCTAACTTTGGCAGCTGGGTGGATAGAGAACCCCAGAAAAGGGAGAAACCGATGAGTTCAGTTTGGGATGTATTTAATATTACTCACCTGCAGATAATGCAAATGGATGTGGGCAACAGGAAACAGGGGTCTTGAGCTCAACTGAAAAGCTAAGGTTGGAGATAAAAAAATGTAACGTGTTAGCATATGATTGGCTAGTGAAGCTTTAACATTCCAGGATAAAATTTCCCTGGAAGAGCAAGATAGACTCTGTGTATTAGGTGTCGAGGAAGCCGAACCAGCAGAAAAAAATCTATATAAAGTGACAGAAGAGATAAACTAGAAGGCATGGAGGAAGAAGAGTCTCCTCTCTTGCCAGAGGTCAGCAAAAAAGAAAAAGAAAAGAAAAAAAAGTGAAGGGCCAGATAGAAGGTGTTAGAAAATGAGCGGTCCCAAATTCTTTGTTGTCATCGTCGTCGTTGATTTCACAACCTTTTAGAAATGGTTCTTGGCTAACTATAAAAATAGTCACAGCTGGCTGTAGTTTGCCATGTTGTTGCTAGGTACCATCAAGTCCCGTAGTTTGTTACCTTATGTACGACAGAAGGCAAACCACTGCACCGTCCTGCATCCCCACTGTTGTCCTGTGCCTGAGCCCGTTGATGCAGCCACTGTGTCAACCATCTCCTTGAGCACCTTCCTCTTTTTCACCTCCCTTCCACTTTACTAAACATGATGGCCTTCTCCAGGAACTGGTCTCTCCTGAAAATCTATCCAAAGTATGTATGACAAAGTCTTGCCATCCTTGCCTCTAAGGAGCACTCTGGTCTTACTTCTTCCGATACAGATGTTTGTCCTTTTAGCAGTCCGTTTTCAATATTCTTCACCAGCACCACAATTCAAATGCATCTATTCTGCTGCAGTCTTCCTTATTCAACATCCAACTTTCACATACATACGAGGCAATGGAGAATACCATGGCTTGGGTCAGGCACACCTTAGTCCTCAAAGTAACATCCTTGCTCTTCAACACTCTAAAGAGGTCTTGTGCAGCAGATTGACCTAATACAATAGATCTTTTGAGCTCTTGACTGCTGCTTCCATGAGCATTGATTGTGGATCCACGTAAGACAAAATCCTTGACAATTTCAACCTTTTCTCCATTTATCATGGTCCAGTTGTGAGGATTTTTGACTTCTTTTCATTGAGTGGTAATCCATACTGAAGGCTACAATCCCTGATCTTCATGAGCAAGTGCTTCAAGTCCTCCTCACTTTCAGCTAGCTAGGTTATGTCATCTGCACACCACAGGTGGTTAATAAGCCTGATACCGTACTCTTCTTCATATAATCCAGGTTCTCTGATGACTGGCTCATCATGCAGATAAGAACAAATAAGGTGAGAGGATACAAGCCTGGCTCACACCTTTCCTGATTTTTAAACCATGCAGTATTCCCTTGTTCTGTTTGCACAACTGCCTCTTAATCCATGTACAGGTTCCACATGAGCACAATGATATGTTCCTGAATTCCCATTTTTCTCAAGGTTATGCACAGTTTATTATGGTCCACACAGTCTGATGCCTTTTCACAGTTAATGAAACACAAGTAAACATCTTTCAGGTATTCTCTGCTTTGAGCCCAGATCCATCTGACATCCTTGTTCTACATCCTCTTCTGAATCCAGCCTGAATTTCTGGCAGTTTCTTGTCAATGTGCTGTTACAGCTGTTATTGGACGATCTTAAGTCACATTTTACTTGTGTGTGATATCAATGGTATCACACATTTGTTGGGTCACCTTTTTGTGGAAGTGTTGAGCATTTTGTTGGGTCACCTTTTTGTGGAATGGGCACAAATATGGATCTCTTCCAGTCAGTTGGCCAGGTAGCTGCCTTCCAAATTTCCTGACGAGTGAGTGCTGCCAGTGTTTCTTCAGCTTTCTGAAACATTTCAATGGGTATTCTGTCGATTCCTGGAGCCTTGTTTCTGGCTGATGCCTTCAGGACAGCTTAACCTTCTTTCTTCAGCACCATTGGTTCTTGCTGGACTGTCAACTAGTTCTCTGTGGTACAGTGACTCTGTTTTCTTTCCATCTCCTCTTGATGCTTCCTGCATCATTTAATATTTTGCCCAAATATTAAATCTTTAAAAATTGCAATTCAAGGCTTGACTTTTTTGTCTTGAGTTCTTTCCGTTTCACATGTGCTGAGTGTCTTCTTCCCTGTGGGTTTTCTAACTCTAGGTCTCTGCACATTTCATGATCATATTTGGCTTTGTCTTCTCGAGCTGCTCTTTGAAATGTTCTATTCAGCTCCTTGACTTCATCCGTTCTTCCATTGCTTTAGCTGCTCTACCATTAATAGGAACTTTCACAGTCTCTTCCGATAATCCACTTTGATCATTTCTTTCTTTCCTGACTTTTTAATGATCTTTGGCTTTCTTCATGAATGATGGTCTTGATGTCCTCCCACCCGTCATCACACTGCTATCAGTGTGCAATGTGTCAAATCTGTTCTTGAGATGACCTCAAAATTCAGGTGGGATTAAACCCAAGGTCATATTTTGACTCACGTGGACTTGTTTTAATTTTCTTCAGTTTTATCCTGAACTTACATATGCGCAATTGATGATCTGTTCCACAGTCGGCCCCTGGTCAGGTTTTAGCTGCTGATCTTGAGCTTCTCCATCACGTCTTCCCACAGGTGTAGTCAATTTAATTTCTATGTAGTCTTTCTGGGGAAGTCCATATCTATAGTCAACTTTTGTGTTGTTGAAAATAGGTATTTTCTATGAACAAGTCATGGCAAGATTCTATCATTTGATCTCCAGCTTCATTTCTATCACCAAGTCCATATTTTAACTACTGTTCCTTCCTCTTTGTTTCCAACTCTTGCATTCCAATTTCCATTAACTATAAAAGCATCTTGATTGCATGTTTGATCAACTTCAGACTGAAGTCGTTGGTAGAATTCTTCAGTTTCCTCATCACTGGCCTTTGTGGTTGGTGCATTAATTTGAATAATACTTTTATTGTGCTTTCCTTGAAGGCTGGTAGATGTAATCTGATCACCAATAGCATTTTACTTCATGATGGATTTAACAAGATCCTTTCTGACAATGAATGCCTTGCCATTCCTCTTTATTGTGTTTCATCAGACATAGTAAATCATGTGATTTTCTGATTCAAAATGGCCAATACCAGTCCATTTCAGCTCACTAACACCTACGATATCGATTTACATACGTTCCATTTCATTTTGACTATTTCTAATTGTGTAGTCTGGGTGGACTAGAGAAACAAATTCATAGACACTCATGTGTAGAAGAAAGAGTTTTATATATAAGAGTAATTGAATATTGAGAAAACAGCCCAGTCCAGATCAAGTCCATAAGCCTGATATTAGCCCACATGTCTGATACCAATCTATAAATTCCTCTTCAGACTCATGAAACACATGCAATGATGCCGAATGCAGGAAGATCACAGGCCAGTGGGTGGAAAGTCTTGTGGCTCCAGTGGCATTGTAAGCATATCAGTGCTGGCAGGGCTGCCCACGTGGCTTCTCCACCAGAGGTGGCTCCATCAGCCTCTCTCCATGTGTCTTCTTCAGGGATGTCTCGCAGGGAGTGAGCAGGTGTCCTGCCTCCAGCGAGCTATTTATTTCTTTAACGCCTCCCGAATGAGGTCATCAAGCTACTACCTGATTGACAGGCTAGACTCTACCCCTTCACTCATAATCCTCTCAAATTGACAAAGCATTATATCACACCACACCAATTTTCCTCAATTCAGACTTTGCACATTCCAAGTTCCAATCGTTAGAAGATTTTTGCAGCTGTTTCTCTTTACCTTGACTTGGGCCCCATCATCAAATGAAGACCCTGAAGGCTCCCCTCCTACAGGCATTATGGGACTCATGTCACGACTCCCCTCCAAGAAGCCATCTCCTCTTCAGTCACGGTTTGAGTGCCCTCGGACCTGAGAGATCCATCTGCCAGTAGTACCTGCAACAATGTCGTTTCCTTGGTTTAGGCTTTCAGTGTTTGAAAATGCTTCAAAGCCAAGTATAAGGTTTTCAGCAGCTTCTTCTTCCAAAGCGGGCAGCCGAGTCCTCCTTCATGGTCTGGTCTTAGTCTGGAAGCTCCGCTGAACCCTGTTCATGCTGGTGACCCCGCTGCATTGTGACTACCAGGGGCATGGCTTCCAGCATCACTGCAACACACAAGCCACCAGAGTGTGACAAACTGACAGAATGTGGTGGGTAGTCTGCCAGACCCCTGCCGTATGGTGGTAGGTGCTTGAGAGATTAAAAAATAAATTGATTTAGGAATAAAGAGAGAGACATTCAGTACCTACCTAGCACAGAGTCTTGTAAGTTTTAACTATTTAAGGAATAGTTTTTAAGTTTTTTTAAAAATATAACTTTCTTAAAAGGTGAATTCCTTTTTTTCCTCCAGATATATGTCCAGAAACTGAACAAAATGGAGTTATTACCGTTTCATGCTGATGTGGCAATTGGCCAGATTATAGAGATCCCCATCGCAATGTATCACGTAAACACGGAGACCAAAGAGACCCTTGCATTCACAGACTGCTCTCACTTACCCTTGAATTTGAACATGGATAAGCAAGGAGTCTTTTCTAGTCTCAAAGAAGGTGAGAGTAGGCTTTTATGTTTATCCTTCCTCTGTTTTTGTGTTAAGAAACAAATCACCAGTTCAGGAACTACAGGTAATAGTTTGAATTTCCCTATTATGTATCTTTTCTTTATTCTGTGAACTGCCTTGTAGTAAATGTTACACTCCTCGTTTCACAGAAATTCAGTAACGTGGATTTCAATGTGACTACTCAATAGCACTTTTCAGTTCCTGTGAAAGTCTTCAGTTTCCAGCCTCTTCCTCTTTCATTCTTTCACACGATAGGTCATACCTCTAATAGTGTCATCAGGTAAAAGACGAGGCTTCCTGTTCTGTAAAGATTTACAGTCTCTATATCTATATGTTAAGTATCAAGGTAGCAGATGGACATTGGACCTCTACTCCAGTACTCCCTCAACACAAGAACACTTTGTTCTAATAATCCGGCATTCTGCGATGCTCACCTTCCCAACATGATCGCTGAAGACAAAATGGGGGCATAAGCAAATGTGGTGAAGAAAGCTGATGGTGCCCGGCTATCAAAAGATACAGTGTCTGGGGTTTTAAAGACTTGAAGATAAACAAGCAGCCATCTCGCTGAGAAGCAACAAAGTCCACATGCAAGAAGCACACCAGTCTGTGTGATCATGAGGTGTCGATGGGATCAGTTATCAGGCATCTAAGACCCAGAACAAAATCATACCAATGTGAATGGGTCAGGGGGGTGCAGGCGGAGTGGAGACCCAAAGCACCCATCTGTAGACAATTGGACACCCCCTCACAGAAAGGTCACAAGGAAGAGACGAGTCAGCCAGGGTGCAGTATAGCACGGATGAAACATCCAACTGTCCTCTAGTTATTTAATGCTTCTTCCCCCCACCATCATGACCTCAATTCTACCTTACAAATTGGACTAGACCAGAATACGTACACTGCTACAGATAAGAGTCCGCAACACAGGGAATCCAGGATCCCTCAGGACCACCACTGAGAATAGAGATACCAGGAGGATAAGGGGAAGGTGGGGGAATAGGGGGGGAATCGATCACAAGGATTGATCTATAACCCCCTCCCAGGGGGACGAACAACAGAAAAGTGGGTGAAGGATGACAGAGGATGATGTAAGATATGAAAATAATGAGCTATAATTTATCAAGGGTTCAAGGGGGAGGGAGGGTGGAGGAGGAAGGGGGAAAAATGAGGAGCTGATACAAAGGACTCAAGTAGAAAGACAATGCTTTGAAAATGATGATGGCAACATATGTACAAATGTGCTTGACAATGGATGAATGTATGGATTGGAATAAGATGTAAGAGCCCCGAATGAAAGCATTTAACTAAAAAATTAATATTAAGTATTTTAAAGTCTTTAATAAGAAAAGAAAAGATTTACAGCCTCGTACCCCCACAAGGGCAGTCCTGTGCTGTCCTATAGGTTCCCTGTGAGTTGGAATCCACTCAGAGACAGTTTGTATTGTTTAAAGAGTGTCATTTACTATGTGGAAATGAAAAAGAGAACATGAATAAGCTGTCCATAAAGGTCAACATTGCTTCTTGAAATTGAACTTCCTATTTGAGTCTCATCTATTGTTTTTCCATCAATAATACTGGCAGTAAAAGCATTAAGCATATACCTAATGATTACTATTTTCCAGGCAACATTTTGAATACTTTTTATTTTATTTTCAACATTTTATCCAGGGCTCTTAGAGTTCTTATAACAATCCATACATCAGTTGTACCAAGCACATTTGTACATATGTTGCCATCATTATTTTCTAGACATTTATTTTCTATTGAGCCCTTGGTGTCAGCTCCTCTCATCCCGCCCAAACTCTCATGGCCCCTTGATAAATCATTATTATTTTCTTATCTTACACCCACCACTGTCTCCCTTCCCCCATGGTTTCTGTTTTTCGTACCCCTGGGGTGGCCAGTAAGGTTAAGTGTCAATCATTGCGATAGGTTCCCCCTTCCTCCCCTCCCTTCTTTTCCCACCTTCCCCCTGCTCTCCTGGTATCACTGCTCCCATTCCTGTTCCTGGATTCCGCGTGTCCTGAGCTCTTATCTCTTATCTGTACCTGTGCACGTGCTGTGGTCTAGCTCACAGTGAAAGGCAGGGCTGGGGTCATGACAGTGGGGCTGTGAGGAAGCCTCAAGGAATGAGAGCAGCATTGTGTGTTTCATCGGTGCTTTACTGCACCCTCATTGACTCATCCCTTCTCTGTGACCCCTCTGTGAGGGGATGTCCCATTGTCAACAGATGGGCTTCAGGTCTCTGCTCCAACCCCACTCATTCTCAACCATATGGTTTTGTTTGTTTGTTTGGGGTCTTCTGATGCCTGTTACCTGGTCCTAGTGATACCTCATGATCGCACAGGCTGGTGTGCTTCTTCCATGTGGGCTTATTGCTTCTCTGCTAGATGGCTGCTTGTCTGAATACTTTTTATTTTTAACTCTTGCAATTCTCACCGGACATCTAGTTATAGAGTTCAATGCATCTGTCGATAGAGTTAGCATCAACTCGGTCTTCTTCCTGCTGTTGCTGCTGTAATATCTCTTACCTCCCTCTCTCCTCTGTTCGCATGATATTGCTCCTGACTTTTAGACCCTCATTACCTCTCAGGTCATTAGAATGCCTTTCGAATTATCACAGCCCAACAGCCACATTTCTTTGTGTCTTGGTTCTTAGGCCTGCTCAATTGCAGTGGACAGAGCGCATCAGCTCTGGTTTCTTAAATATGGTCATAAAAAAAAATATGGTCAAATTGGTACAATTTTAGTCCACTCTTTAAAAGATCTCCTCGGCAGAATCAGGATATCATAATAAGCTTCCTTGTTTGAATGGGAAATGTAGGTATTTAAATTTCCCACTTTTTTGGTGTATAATGACCCTGGTTTCACAAGTACTCATCCACTCCCTCTCCTTCAGTGCACACTGTTCTGCACTCAGATCATGTACTCATCCCCCTTCTGTAAACTACCAGAGCTCGCAGAGGCTGAGTCTTGCATGTCTGCTCCTGCACAGTTTAAACAAAGTGGGGGTGATGACAGTGCTTTCCAAACAATTTCACATCCTGGATGTCTTGACCAGAATTAATTGAACCATCTGATCAGGGACTTAAATCTTTCCAGATTCTTCTGAATTGCTTGCCTCCAGACTAACAGAACGAATGTGCTTCAGCCTGGAACCAAAATTACATTTTACCAAAGGAGAGAAAGAGTTTGCTGCCATTCCTTACCACAGACAACAACTCGGTACTCTGCAATGATGTTGAAAACCTTCTGAAAAAAATTGGTCTTTCAGAATATACCCCCAAGTGAGTGGCGTCTTCTCATCAACAGTTCAAAACATAGTTAGAAATGTGTTCTTCTAAATAAGGGCAACAAATAAGGGTTCTATTCCAATCAGTCACTCCACCAGAACGAAAGAAGAATACAAGGCCATCTCTCTAGCCTTGGAAAAGATACATCACCAAGAACACCAATGAGCGGTTGTGTAGACTTGAGGGTGGTTAATTTTCTTCTTGGTCAACAAAGTGGCTGCACAGAGAATCTTTGCTTCTATGTCTTCAGGATAGTAGAGCCAAACATGAACTTTGGGCAAGAAAAGATTAGCCTCCGAGGGAATATATGGTGGTTGGAGGACAAAATGTAATCAATGAACCTTTGGTAGCACGAGACAGAATCATACTGCCACCACGACATCGGCCTGATGAAACCATTTGTAACAGCTTTGATTAAAAACGGTTAGTGCATTGAATACGTAGCACATCAGTTACCTGGACCTCACCATGGAAGAACTCAAGGCAGGGATTTTCGATGGTCCACAGATCAGACAACTTAGAAAGGATGCACACTCCATAGCATCAGTGAATGAAATAGAATCATGTGCTTGGTCCTCCTTTGTTCTTGTTAAAAAAACTGTCAGACAACGTCCCACAGTCGGTAGAGGATGTGCTCTTTCATTTCAATGGGCTTGGCCGTCACTTGAGGGTTAGAGTCCTTTATCTGCACGCTCAGATCGCGTTCCAGAGCACCTTGGTGACGTAAGCGAACAACAAAGTGGAAGACTTCACCAAGACAAGACAATGGAAGTCGGAGACCAGGGAAGACGAGATGCACACCTCGTGGCAGACCAGGGCTGGAATCGGATGCGGGTGGTCCTGGCAGATAACCACTCTGGGCAGTCTTGCAGAAGGAGCTTCTTGCGTGTCAACTGACTGGAGAGTTGTATCAGAAATATGTGCTTTTGGTATGAAATAGTAGATTTTAAGTAGTATACTTTTAATTTTTAATATGTTTTTAAAAAGATAGATCCTGATATTTTTAATGAGCAAGTGTAGTGAAAAGTGGTGCAGGGCAACCTGACATCTGCTTTGTATCTCAAAACCTAGAACTGAGGGGGGAAAACTAGCGCCATTTTTTGAATCAGCAGGTCAAATATACCCAGAAATAAATCTAACAGTGACGGCGCCAACACGTGTGTTAGCCAGTATTTTTTCCTGCCGTTGGTAATCGCAGTACCAAATGGATCTTTACAAAGCTCAGCTTTAATGTTACTTCTGCTCAAAACATTTGAGAGGTTCCCCATGGCCCAGGAAAGAACGAAAATTCTTAGGTCACCCTTCAAGACCGCTACAATATGACCCAGCCTACTTTTCTTGAATTCATATTTTAATTTCGTTACATTTGCCCTTGCAGCTCCCTCTTACACTCATTTACAGCTCCAGATCTTTGTTCATCCTCGCCTGCATTTCTAATATTCCCTCAATCTCTTCAGTCAGAAGTAATCTTTCTATTTGGTGAATTTCTCTAATACTCATCACTTTCTACTAGTATTTTAAGTAATTTCTGTACACGATCAATCTTCCTTTATAAACTCTAAGGACTTTGGGGTCAGTATCTTGCTTGATATTTGTGTCTTCATTATATAAAGAATTGTGTCTTACATGAAATCTATCTGTTAATAGAATAGCTGCTTCATCTTATTTTGATTGTGGCAAGTATAGAGAACACAACATGTGCCATTTCAACATGTTTGCAGGTACAATTCCGTGATATTACTTGTGCGCCACCATCCCCACTGTCGTTTCATATTTGTCACCACCTCCAGCAGAGACTCAGCGCCCTGTGTGCCGTGATTCTCCCTTCCCTTCTCCTCTCATCCCTAGCGCCCACCTGCCTGTTCTAGAGAGTTCGTGTAGGCGGGGTCAGACAGTGGTTGTCCTTGTGTGATCCACTTACTTCACCCCGAAAAACGTTTTCTTTCAAGATTCACCCATGTTGTGACATGTACGACACCGTCATTCCGCTCTACGGCTATGTAATGTTCTGTTCTCCCTATGCCCACAACCGCCCTTCCACTCATCTGTTGGTGACTGAGGGATAGGTTCTCTTGTCCACGTGATACAGACAGTTGGAGTGTAGAGGTCCGCACAAAGAATGCTGGCAGTAGTGTAGATCAGGCGAAGGGCTGCTAGCCACAAGGTGAGCGGCTCAGATTCACCAGAGAGAAAGGTGAGGCGGTCTACTCCCATAAAGAACCATCTTGAAAACGCCATGTGGGGTCACTGTGGGTTGGAAGAGACTGGCTGACAGTGGTCTGGGCAGTAGCTAGCATGAGATCCAGATGATGCTTTCGGTGCATTGAGACCCTTGATTCTGCAGCCTCGTTTCTTTGAAAACGGCCTGCTTTTTGCCCCGCTGAGGCCATGTGGTTGATTCGCAGGGACTCGGAAACCGGGGGCGGCGCACTGCTCCAGTGCACACATAGCGGCCAGATCGCTGGGCCACACGCTGGTGACCGTGAGCGCGAGGGACTGTGGAGAGCGCCTGGAGAGTAGCGCCACCTTTGCTGCTTATGAACCCTTGAAGGTGAGTGGCTCTGGGTTCGCACCGGCAGCACGTCGACCACAAGGCAACGATAGGAGGGGATTCGCATGGCCCCTGCGGGCAAGGATGACACGCACATTCATGACGCCTCCCGTATTTTTCAAAAAAGAGGTCGAGCGCTTTGATGTTGCACCTCACCTGCGAGCAGCCCCAGCAGTAGGCGATCAAGTCTTGGGTCGACCCACAATAGGAACCTCAATGTAAGCAGTCCGCTAAAAAAAAAAGCAAAAGCAATATAATCCCTGATCCAGCGGAGTGAAAGAGACAAGGAATTGTTGGTTGTGGAGAAGAAACTGCAAACACGCAGAGATCTTCTGGATAAAACCCGGAAGGTGAAGGTGAAGAGCGTGACGGTGAACTCCCGGCGGCTTACAAGTTGCAGCGTCCTCAAACTTCCATGTGGTGAGAGGAGCCTTGCCTTCCTTAGTGCCCCCACCCGCCGCCCCCAGGAACTTCACGTTCCATTGATCTCAATGGTGTGGCTTCTCTGTTTATAGACGTAATGCATTGTGGATCTTAAGCTTTGGTGTTTTTCTATAAACAGTGTTCAAGCCCCTGGAAAAACAGTGATTTTAGGCTAAGAAACAAGCATTTCTTTTCTGGGAGCCCCACCTGTCCACCCAGGGGCTTCCTAGCTTGGAGTGTCTATATGATTTTTGTGTCTGCTTTTTTTTCACCACTCATTTGTTTTTAGAGCTACAGCTTCATCAAACCTCAGTGTTGCTGTTTAGGTTTTTATACAGCTCTGTCACTGCCACCCCATCAGATTTAGAACAAAGGAACCCTACCTGTTGATGTTCTCGCCAAAGATCATTTTCTATACTAAGGAAGGGGACCCTTTGGCACCTTTCAGCCTTGTAGGTTATTTTAGTCGCTATTTATATAAATTATGCATCACACAAAAGTAAGGAACGTTTTGGGAAAGCGTCAAAGCCCAAGAAAATGGTAACTTATCTGTCAATGGGATGCGTCCCCTCTGAATCCGTGGGTCAATGTCCCTGGTCTCATCCATCTCTAAGGTGAAGGGGCTTTGAGAAGTGCAAGGAGGTGTAAAACTCAAAGAACCTCTCCGGCATCAAGTCCATCCCAACTCATGTTACTACGATCTTCTCCTCCTTGGATACTTTAGGAAAATATCTGTTTAAAATCAGTAAAGAGATTTTTCCTTTTAAATTAGACACCGAGGAAGGTGCGGTATATGTCAAGGAGTTTGCATAACTAGAGCACGTAACACATCTTATTTGACTTGCGCATAGGAAGTATGTGAAGCATTTCAATAGCATTAGGGGATGGAGAGGCCTACAGATGAGTGTTGTAACAACCTAGGGGGTGGGGCAGTGGTTAGGGCCCGGAGGGACTGGACAAAATGACTGGATCAGGTGACACATGAGTTAGGCTGGAATCATAGGTAGGATATGATTTAATAAAGGTTGAAAAACTTTTCAAGTAATAGGCATGGCACACATGTCGCTGTCATTGGGAATTAAGTCTAGTATCGTTTTCAGTAATTTCAGATTATTGAGGTGGGTTTTTTTTGTTTTTTTTAATACTTTTATTGGGGGCTCTTACATCTCTTATCACAATCCATACATACCTCCAGTGTGTCAAGCAGATTTGCACATAGGCCACCATCATCATTTTCAAAGAATTCTCTTCTTGAGCCCCTGATGTCTGCTCCCCATTTCTTCCCCCTCACTCCCCCACCTGCCCTCCCTCACGAACCCTTGATAAGTTACAGATGATTTTTCCCATTGGATCATTGTTTTTTAAGTAGTAGTTGTAGTATTTTAGAAAAGGCTCAGATGAATGCCCTAACCAATCAGACTTGTGTTTGTTGTTGACATCACAGGCTGTGAACCCCGTGGCTGCAGCGTTGGTGACATGGAAGTCAGTGAAGGAAATGCTCTTTGAGGGGGGCCCTCTCCCATGGGTCCTAGAGCCCTCACGGTTCTTTCTGGAGCTGAGCACAGAGAAAACCGAAAAGATCCAAATAACACAAGTCCGACTGCCGACCAAGAGGAAACAGCACCAGTACATCTACCGGGTCCTGTGCCTGGACTTGGGGGAACAGGTAGGAAAACGGTTTTGGCCTTTTTTCTGAAACCTCTCTTTTAACAATAATAATCTAAATCGTTTGAACTTCAACCCATTCTTTTGCCGTTTCCAGGGGATTTAGTTCATAGGCTAAATAGGAAAACTCCAATTACTGATCAGAGAACCTCTTTATAACCTTACCATCTTGACGGCGGGCAACAACGGTCCTTTAAATGTACCCAAAGGCTTCCCTCTGTTCACATGAGGACTCTCAGTGTGTCCTCACTGAGCAAATCGAAGTTCCACTCTGTTCATGTGAGGGTCCTAACAGCACCCGCACTGAGCGAATCACGATCGTTTGGGAGTAGTGAGTTCTTCTCCCCTTCGACTCAATCGCTCGGGTTCACCTCCTTGCTATCAGACTAGACGCTCTTGGGTCTCCCGCCTCCTGAGATTGTGAAGCAGAGATCAGCCCTTTTAGGAAACGGGTCAGCTGTATGCTGAGAAGAACCCTAACACGGTTGTCATCCTTATCAGTGGAAGGAGTGCTGTTTGTCTTTAGTGATAGAGTCGGGTTTGTGTCGTTTCCGCCTATACACAGCTGGGCTCTGCTTGCAGCTTGACTAGTTGGGAATGACTGAGACAGGGCCTGACTCCTCAGACTGCAGGGAGTCCACGTGAGATTGGAACTTAGTAAGTGCTGTGCTCCTCTTTATGGGGTACTGCTCAGGTTTCTAATATCTGTAGTGAACATGACTGTCTATACGTCTAGCCGTGGGTCATCTAAGGCCAAACTACCCCTTTGAAGCTCCCTGACTTCTGTTCCTGCAGTCTGCTTAGTCACCAGAGAAGGGTTAAAAAGTAAATTAGTGAATGATGGGGGGAGTGCGGAGTGAAGACTCAAAGCCCATTAGTAGGCCACTGGACATCCCCTTGCAGAGGGGTCTCGGGGAGGAGACAAGCCGGTCAGGGTGCGATGTAGCAACGATGAAAAATACAACTTTCCTCTAGTTCCTAAATGGTTCCTCCCTCACACACACACACTATCATGATCCGAATTCTACCTTGCAAGTCTGGCTAGACCAGAGGCTGTACACTGGTACAAATAGGAACTGGAAACACAGGGAATCCAGGGCAGATGATCCCTTCAGGACCAGTGGTGTGAGTGGCGATACCGGGAGCATAGAGGGAGGGTGGGTTGGAAAGGAGGAACCGATTACAAGGATCTACATGTGACCTCCTCCATGGGGGACGGACAGCAGAAGGGTGGGTGAAGGGAGATGTCGGACAGGGCAAGATATGACAAAATAATAATTTATGGATTATCAAGGGTTCATGAGGGAGGGGGGAGTGGGGAGGGAGGGGAAAAAATGAGGAGCTGATGCCAGAGGCTTAAGTGGAGAGCAAATGTTTTGAGAATGATGAGGGCAATGAATGTACAGATGTGCTTTATTTTCCCTTGGCTTTCAAATTTTCATGACAACCTTAATTCCTAATAGCCCACATAATCAAGAATTCTAATGCCTTCAAGGAATTTGTCTAGTTATTGTGTCCAAATGGGACTCTTTTAGATAAGATTTTGAATAACTCTAATATTCTTCAGTTGGTTTGACTGACATTAGGTTTCTACCCACAACTCTCTCGTGTTCTGGTATTTCCTCAAAGGTTCTGACATTTCGAATTGGAAATCACCCAGGTGTCCTGAACCCCAGTCCAGCTGTAGAAGCTGTGCAGGTGCGTTTCCTATGTGCCTACCCTGCCAGCATGTCGGTAACTCCAGTGTACGAGGTGCCAGCTGGTGCCCATCCATGTCCTCTGCCACAGCACAACAAGCAACTGGTAAGCACTGAGTGTTTCCAACTAACTTAGCCCTTTGGTCTTCTCTGCTTCATTTTTGTCTGCAAAATAGCTGTTGTCTTATTAAAGAGAACGATGTGGTTTGTTATTCCCTGTTCTCTGATCGTGCCTGAGAAGAAGTGATTAAATCGAGTTAGACTGGGCTACACCTAGTGACATGACTTCATACATGGTCCATGTGTGATTAAGACAATAGACTGTTTTAATATTCCCTGCCAGATTTTCCATTAGCATTATAAATAAGTAATGAAATTCATCTCTATCCAAATCCACCATGAAAAATAGCAATAAGGGATAACATAGCTAGTAGGCAACAAAGAATGAGGAAATAATGAGGCATGGGTTCTGTGGAATGCAACAATTAATAATTCACATTATTAATTAGCTCTAGCTCTTAAAGGTTGAGTAATTCCCCCCAAGTACTAGAGCTAGGAAGTAACAGGGTTTGTCTGCTTACAAAGCCCATGTTGCTAATTTGTATGCCACCTTACCTTTTTATTGCAAGAGCACAGCAGTAGGAATGTAACAGATTGGGATATTCTCTCTCTCTCTCCCCTGAAAGCAAATTTCACATTAAAATTTTTATCTGAAGTTGAAGAGTGATTCATTTTTCAAAGCAACCAGAATGGGACAGAATAAAAGTTATCCCTCTAATGTTATTTTCAGTCAATGTCCTTTTTTCCCATTTAAAAGAATTCATATATACAGAAGAATTGCAAGAACAAATAGCTGGGTTGATGGTTTCGTGGGGATGTGAGAGGGGAGGTTGGGGGAAATGGAGCGCTCACAACAACGAGGAGAAGAAAATGTCCTGATGTTGATCGTGGTGATGATGGCACAACTCTCTGGAATGTGACTGAACTATTGAATCATACAACATGGGAATTATATATTAATAATCTGCTTTTTTAAAAAACTTCAGCCAAATAATAAACAAGGCTCTCAAGTGAACAAGAACGCGCTGCTTCAGACAGCCTACCAAAGAGCTGCATTTGCACAGCGCTGAAACTCAGCAGGCAGGAAGGACAGATGGAAACAGTAATCACAGGAAGGAGCTAGGAAACCTGCTGTTACAACCTGGAGATTGCAATCAATGTCACAAATCAAAATGCAGATGAATGGAAACCCAATTTACTCAGTAAACTCTTACCTAAATCACAGTAAAAAGGGGGGGGGG